GTCAGCTTCACGCACCTCGAAAAGAGAAAAAAGGGTGCAATTTCGTGTTCTGTTTATATATTTATTTGTTTTTTTTGCCAACGACCTTTGGTTTATTTAACTCCCTCCCCGGTTGACAATTTCCCCGTCTCTTTAATGATATTTGTGTCCATCAAAGCCCAGCAACATTGTATTTTTCCTCCTATTCAACATATTTCACATAGAAAAAAAATCTTAAATTTTTTTAATTTTTATTTAAAATTTAATAACTTATTAATTTTATTTTTATTTAATATACTGTTATAATTTTAAATATAAAACCCATTTTATAGTGGAACTACAAAACAAGTTTTGTATTTAAGACTGGGACGAGTATATTATATCATAAGAAAATAAAATCAACACAATAATAAACAAATGGTAAAATTATACATTTATATAAAAAATTTTTTTCCTTACCCTCTAAATAGGAATAGAGGATTATATATTAATGTTGTTCTCAAATTCAAAGAGAATTAGTTAGATGGAATTATATCGGTAATTAACTTCGGGGCTATACTAAGTTTTTGGGTGTGTATCTATTTTATGTATCGGTTTAAAATGTATATTCTTCTTGTGCATGTAATATCAGTATTTTATACATAACATAAATTTTTTATTTTTTTTAACAGAAAAGAAAAAAAAAAGAATTTCTTCTTCGTATTTGCTCCCTTTTTTTTTCACTGTTGTGGTTTTTCCCCGTGGCTTTAGTAGCAGATTCTGATGGGTTGGGCTCTCAACGTGGCCTAATGTGGACTATTATCCAGTACATAAGCCCCAAAGTGGACATTGGCTGGGCTCCACCACCAAGAGAATGAAAGGCAGGATTACATAGCCCGCCAAATAAAAGGAGCCCGCCCCCGGCCACGTTTTAAAAGGCAAATAAGAAGAAGGGAAAATCACAAACAAAAACTCCTAAATTACCAGAATTACGCAGAGGTCATCTAAATAAGTAAAATTATCACGGGGGACCCAATTTCATATTACAAATATGAAATCTCAGTGAAATGTCTAAAATGCCCCTCAGTCAAATGATAAGTTGACTATAAGAAATGACAAGTTCACTTTAGCGAATAACAATTTCAATAGATCAAATTACAACTTGGTTGAATGTATGCCAAATGACAAGTTGACTATGAGAAATAACAAATTTACTTTAGTGAATGAAAATTTCAGTAGACCAAATCACAATTTAGCTTAGAGACATTTCAGACATTTCGTCAAGATTTCATATTTACAATATGAGATTGGGTCATTTATGGTAATTTTACTTATTCAGGTGACTTCTATGTGATTTTAATAATTTTGGGGTTTTTATTTGTCATTTCTCTTAAGAAGAAGGCATATTCCGACCAGGATGGGTTCGGAATGTCTCCACTGCAACGCCTCCCTCCATTTTGCCTCCACTAAAAAAATAATGTCATTCTTCTAAAAACCATTTTCCTCGTTTGTTTATTTTAAAACACAACGATGTCATTTTTTTAGTGGAGGCAAAGTGGAGAGAAATTACAGTGGAGAGGTTCTGAATAGGGGTGTTTAAGGCCGGCCTATCCCGGTCGGCCCGTTCCGGTCCCAGTCTTATTGGGACGGGATGGGACACGGGATGGGGTTGTCCCATGAATAAGTCCTATAATGAATTCAATGCTCGATTTCCGTTCATATAATTAGGAGATCTTGTTGAGATTCGCGTAGGAACATACACTTTTAATTTTAAAGAGAGGCCCGGTCCCGTCCCTGTTCCTTTTTTTTTATTTAATTTTTTATCCTATTTATATAATTTCATTTTTTTCATTTTTTTTTAAGATTTGAGACTATTGTATGGAACTATAGATATATTTATTTAGAGTTTTTATATTTGTTAATGATTTGAGATTATTGATGATTAGAATTTTTAACAAGTTTTTATTGTGTTAAAAGCTTTTGTTTAGAGTTTTTAATGACTATTATATGTAATATTTTGAGCTTTTGTTTAGGAGTGCCCAAACAAATAAAAAAAGAAAATAAAAAGATGTTTTTATAAGATTTAAGCTCAAAAAAATATAATTAAAAAAATCAGTTTTTTTAAAAAAAAATTAAAAAATTTAAAAAAATATTTTCGGGACGTCCCTGTCCCGTCCCGTCCCGACCGGGACCAAGACAACCCTGGGAATGGCCGGGACACATGACAGAAAATTTATTCCGTTACTGTTCATCGGGACGGAACCGGGACGGGCCTGTCCCGGTCCCGATTCGTCTCGTGAACATCTCTAGTTCTGAATCCAACCAGGACATGCCCCTCTTGTTTCGTTTCACCAAATAGAAGAAGAATAAGTTGCATGTGTTCATATCCTTATAGTTTCGGGTGACTAATAAAGGGAAAAAAGAAAAAAAAAAGAAAAAAATTGTAGGGACCTAATTAAAAACAAATAAAATTATAAGGGCCTGGAAAAAAGTAGGAAAATCTTTTTTGAAAAAATCTAAAATTTCAAAATCTCAATACAAAAATGTATTGTTATTTGTTTTTCAAATGTTGTTAATTATTATTGAAATGTAGTAACAAGACTTATTTAAAATTTTGAAATTCAGAAATATTTTTTTAGGATTTTTCCAAAAAAAGTATAGGAGCTTGTTTAAAAACAAATGACATTGCAAAGATCTGTTAAAAAAGAATATAAACTACAAGACACGAATAAAAATTAAAAGAAAAGAAAGGTCCTGTTTTTCCATTTCACCTGAACAGTTATCAGGGTTTTCTTTTTTTTCTTTATTGCTCAGAATATCATTCCACCTGAACAATAGGAGGTTAATTTTTCAAAATACTGTGAGATCATGATGAGGACCCTCCTAACAATATTTTTCTCTATACATATCATTCCAAAAATCAAATTTGAAACACGATACCCAAAGTGCTCAAATTCTTTTTACCTGGACTAACACTCGCTAGTTATCACGGTTTCGTTTTCAGTTGCAACAACCATGAATTGGCAATTCCAACTTTTTATGTGGTTCAAACACCCTAACAACGCTGTCTCCGTAGTTTTGTTGAAGTTTTGCTTCGAAAATATAATTCTTCTTTGAAATAAATTATATATATATATATATATATCATAGTTTGACCTGCATGTAATTGTTTTTTACCCAAACACCTCTCATCAACTTGAATACATGATTTTAATAAATTATCATAAGATACTGTTTATTTTTTAAGAAAAGGGTTCATTTAGGCCTTTTTCTACTTAAATTTTCTTTTAAAAATTGGGCATAAATATTTTATTACAAATTTAATTGGCAAATGGTTTATAAAATAATTGATTGCACAGGGAAATATTAATTACACAAAAAAAAAGAGTAAGTTGTATAAAGAGAAGATAGTTTATACAAAATATTATTTGGATACAAGGTATTAGTTTACACGTAAAAAAGATAAACTGCACATAAAAAAAATTTATTTGTATATCAAGAAATTAAATTGCACATCACACAAAGAAAGATTATTATATATAAGAACAGATAAATTGCATATAAACAAAGTTAATTTGTACAAAGTCTTTAGATTCCATTTGTCAATTAAATTTTCAAGGAGAAAGTTATGTCAATTTTCCTTTTTTAAAATTTGTTCTCTGTTTTTTGGAAAAAAGAAGCAACAATAATGTAGTTTCTTTAAATTGAAAACGCTTGTATAATTTTCATGCTGAAAATGTTTGTATAATGTATACAGATCTTGGTCGCTTGACACGTTATAACGACATCCACCGTTGGTGGACGGGACGAAACTTGATTGAACACGTCATCGCGGGCGGGGAGCCATGAGCTAAAACAATTTCTTTTAAACCATTTGATCCTTTGAAATTACTAGTATTTTTCATAAGCATTTATTATTTTAAATGCAAAAACATAGCAAATCTAGCGACGTTAATGATAGTATTTTTCTTAAATGTCCATTTTGGTAAGGACCAAGTGACAATAATGATTTTTGGCCCAAAAAAAGTTGACAATAATAGTTTTTTATTTCATTTCTTCTTCTATTCAAGTGAAGGAGGCTTATGATCAAATATGCGTCACTAAACCTTATTTTTGTAATAGTGATTTTTAATGTCTTTGTACGTTGTCATCCAAATAGAACCATTTAAAATTAATATTTTAATCATATCATATACTACTTCCGATCCTAATTATAAGAGCCAGTTGATTAATTTAAGGAGATTAAGAAAACAAGTTGAATTAGTTATTTGTCCTAAATAAGTGTTGTTTTGCCTAAAATACTTTACTAATCAAGTGTATTGACTAGAATTATAATTATTAGAAAGACTATCTTAAAAAAAGTTGAGTAAATGTGGGAGACAAAGTGAATTAGAATCTTATATTTATGATCAAAATAAAAATTAAACCGAATCGATCGGAGGTAGTAATATATATACATTAACAATATTTTTTTTTTGAGGAAACATATATTAAGAAATACTATCATCTTTCCGCCTGGCTTATGTGTTCATGGCCTACCGAGTCAAACTCCTCGCGAACTCACCATCCCATGCGTACAGAAAAGGTTGTTTTTAAAATATAAAAAATATATTTGTGAAACAATCAAGTAGTCACATCATGACAACACAGAAAAATAAGAAAAGATGTTCCACTAATTTATCCTCTGTTTCGGCAAAATCCCATATTTCCTTTCAATACAAGAACCATCATTAATCATTATAGTTAATGTAATTAAATTATCAGCTGCCAAAAGCCTAATCTCACCACCACAATAATCAAAAATCACAATTTTAAATAGTGTCCACAGATAAATCTGGCGTTTTCTGTCTGTATCACTTTCCTCGCTCGCAGCACAGACTCTCACACACGCCCTGGCAAAGCTAAAAACATGGTCATTACTAATCATCACGCATTATAACTCACATTAGAATCATTCACTACACTACAACTCTACGGGATTCAATTGCCCCCATAAACCTTTTCTTCCAATCTAAGCCTTTTGGCTTTTCTTTCTCCTTTCTCCCTTCCCCAGTTTATATACCCCTCAATCCCTCCTTCTTCCACAGGAAGCACCGGCCTCAAAAACAGAGCACGGAAACAGAGAGGATGACCTCTGTTTGCATCTCTAACTGCGTCAACGACGCACGAGACCCACGTGTTCCGGTGAGAGCCACGTATGTGAACCTCTACAAGTGGCCGGAATCGGACGCCGAGTTCGTGAGGTCTGTGAGCCACAACCGACGGAGAGGATCGCAGGTGTATGGACACCCCAGGGTGGTGGATAGTATCTCCTGCAGGCAGATGTATCTGAGAAGCTACAAATTTTCCCGGAAAGAGAGCATGCCGGAGAAAACCCAGAAGTGCTTCGGGAGGGTGAAGGAGAAAGTGGGTCAGGGGAAGAAGAATAAGCCCGCTTCGTCCAGGAAAAGGAAGTGTTTGGTTTGGAGGAAAGTGAAGGAAATCTCATGCTCTGCTCTGTTTCGGATTTTCCACAGGTTCTTGTCTTGTGCTGCTAGCGTAGATGTCGTCGATGAAAAGGATTGACTTTGCTTAATTTAAGGTTGCAACTCGTAATTTTGCTTGTTTGTTTTCTTCTATTTATGATCAATCGAGAGAGTATAATTATATTATATATTTGTTTATGAATGCGTGGATGTAAGAAAATGCACAGTAGGAATGTTAAAGACAAGCACGAGCCTCTTCCTTCCCCAATGTATATTTATTAAATTTTGACGTTTTGTATCAAGCAAATATGGCCTGTCTTCTTCTTTCTTCCCATTCATTTCGCAATCAAGAATCGTTGGCATATAAATTCAACTGTCTCTGGGATTCCAGTTTTCAAAGCATGGCGCGTCAGCCATGGAAGCAAGCACCAGAAAATCTGTCGTCGTCCTCGTCATGAACCGATCGAGTCCTGACCTCTTTTGATCCTCTTTCCTAGGTTTTGGCTTTTCCCAGGTTGAAAGAAACTTCACAGTACATAATTAAAGTATTTCTTATGCGTGTCAATTGTGCGAACGGTTATAAAATGAAACGAATATTTGTGGGTGATTGATTAGTAGACGCCGGAGCTTATAGATTCATCCGATAGCCAAGTGTTCGTCTCCACTGTTTCTTTTTTAATTAACCTACGAAATGCTTTCTTTGATGAGACGAGTTGGTTGTTATTTTCACTGGCCCTAATTATTTATTTCTACAATGTCACATTATTTTAAATCTTAAACACCTCCATTCAATGCCCTCCATCTGAAGGGGATATGGAACTGGAAACCAATAATAATTATATTTTAAAGTTGAAAAATTGTAGGTAAAAGCAGACGAACTGTGAGGCTTGTAAAAGTGTCAGAAGGTTGGTTTTGGACAATGGTTGGGGTGTGTAAGAAGCCTTGGCGAATGGAATTAATTGTTTTAGACTCTGCGTTTTTCTACTGAGATCATTTTCAATGGAAGGTAATCATATGGTTTTGAAATTAGCAACAAGTTTGGTTGTTTGTAGTGAATGGGAAAAATGACCAAGTGCCCTCGGATTCTATTAGTTCTGCTTTTGGAGAATTATGAACAGTAAATCGGAAAGAAATATTGACTGCCAACTGTAGAAAAGTGGATGGGAATGGAAAGATGATTGGTATCACAACAAGTTATTGATAAATTCAGATAATCATAATAGTATGTTCATGTAAAACTTTCCCACTAATTCCCTTGATACTATGGTCATGATTTCTAATAACCTACAATCAAACACAATAAAATAACTTTACAAATGACACAGTCACACACATATTTGCATTTTAAATTAAAAAAAAGGGACTGTAATCAATATCAATATAGGAATTAGGAAGTTACCATACACCGTACTATTCATGTGTAAGAAATACTCCTCCAGTCCTTAATATAGGACCCAATATTTGAGTTAGTTTTTGTCCTAAATATAAGACTCATTTCTCATATTTATCATTTTTCTCTAAATTACCCATATGGATACTCCCTCAACCATAATCAAGTAGAAGAGGGAGAGAGGGTATTAAGAAAGATGATTATGGTATTTTAGGAAAAATGTGTCACTTTTCTTATAATTAACTAACTTACCTAACTTCCTTAATCTAATCAAATTAGTTAAATGAGTTTTATATTAAGGACCGGAGGAGTAGTATAATGGCCCCTGAGACAAGTTTAAATCGCAAATATGTGCATGAGATTATATTTCTCCTAACATTCACTCGTTTTTTTTAATTATTTTATTTGTAATAATAAGGCTGAAGTATCTCAAGTTAATTTAACTAGCACTTGTCAATTAATTCTGAGGATATATATTTGGCAAACCATGGGCTGTGGTAATATTTTATTTTGTACTGGCCCCTAGCTCAGTACTAAACGATAAACACCTGAAAATCCATTCGGTTAAGGAAATCAAATATTACTCTGCGACGCTGTTAAAAAGAATGTTGGTAGTTGAGGATGATGATAGGACTTTTTAGTTTTTACCAAAAAATTTAAAGAGATGGGTTGGTAAAATCATGATGCATACTGTGAGGGAGCGGCTCTAATATACTAATATCATCACAGGATTAAATACAGAATCATATATTTTATTTCTTTTTCACACATAAATAAAGAAAAAGGGCATGAACAATGAATAAAGAGGAAATGAGAATGATAACATCCACCAAAACCCATTAATTGGCCTTTGCTGAAACTTGCATTCTACTTTAGGCAGGAAAGGGAGGCAGCTCTGATGAACCCTTCTTGCTTAAGCTTCCCTGCAATCAACCTCTCTCTCTATATATGTGTGTGTATGTATATGTATATGTAATGTTCATATCTCAAGAAGCAGAATGAAGCAACAGAATGATGAGCACTCATCAAGAATGGCTTTCCACCAACTCACACTTGGCAATATATTGGCAATGGGGTCACATTCCTTAATCACTCTTATTAAGGACACCTCAGCATACGCATATACCTTCAGTGCCCTTTTTTGTCATCATGTTCGTAACAAGTGTATTGCATCATGGCAAACAATTTATTTATTTATTTTTAAAAACCATTTTGACATGATTCTAGTTCAATTCCATGAATTGCATTGTGATTTACCGTGTCACCAGACACTTGAGTGCTAAGTAATCCATTAAAAATGAAATAAGTCTAGAACATTGATGTCTTGGTTGCATCAACGTAAGAGATTAAAGGCACAATATAGCATATGCAGGCTGCTTCCTGACATCAGCTTTTCAAAATCACCCTCATTGAATTGTAAACTCTGTCATAATAATACATCTTTTAAAATCTTCTAACCAGAATTAATGCTGATCCTTTGACACTTAACTCTTGTTCCTTGAAGAGTTTATGACAGTTAACCATGAGACGTTCCATGCCATTTTCGCTTACAATTGATAACGCTGGCCTGTTTTGAAAGGGATCAAAGGGAAAATTTCCCCTGTACATATCTATCTTTTCAGGTTCATCTGCATGGATTGCTCACGACTAAAATATCAACGATCGGTAATGCATGCAGATACCAAAATCAAAGAGGAGGCCAATCAATAAAATTTAAGATCAGAGAAGGAAGACGGAATATGATTTATTTACTTATTTTGAGATGACGGTGGTGGGGATGGTTTATTCTAGGGGCCACAATAAATAAGAAAGTTGAGGAATTAAGTTGTATTGAGTCATAATTATTTTGATATGAATTAATTCCTTAAACAAAAAAAAAAAAATTAGAGACCAAGTTTCAACCGAATTAAAAGCTAAAGGCTTAAGTCATGTCAAGTCATAATCGAGAGACCAAGTGATAATTGAGTTAAAAGTTGAGAACTAAAAAAATAATTTTCTCACAGGAAAAACCCTATCATAAGTCATTTCCGTATTAAAATAGTTCAGAGTTCAAACTTCAAGTATGTTCTAAATCCACTACTCCACACGACATCCGTTCCAAGACTGATGTTTTGTCACATCCATCGACGATGTTGGATATCTTACGCCAACAGAATCGGCACTGAAACAATTATATGAAATATGGATACGAACACATTAACGGCAACAAAACCTTAAAATAAACTTAATACTATACACAAATCAATCCCCCTCTCTTGCAAGAATTAATTATGCTAATTCTATGTTAGCCTCGGTCCCCTCGATGACCCCAAAGAGACTTTTGTTTGCGTTTTTTGTTCTAGCCTTTGATGCTTTCTTTTTCCGACTATTTAGCCTTTGCAACAATTTAGTATTCAATTTCTACTCATCCAAAAGATACCATCCATACATACATAAAAACTAAATAACTAATTTACTGAGATTATAAAAATTAATTAAATTATTTATTTGTAATAAATCTATCTTGATTTATCTAAAATACCCTTTTAATTATTTATCCAAAAGACACTTCACGAGGTTAGGTTAAAAGGTTGAATCAGCATGCATAACACAAAATAGCCATGCCGAAAATAGTTTTGCGAACAATCCGCGACCAACAAGCGGCTCGTTTCAAGACGGAATAATTCAGAAACCATCCCTCTTACTAAGATCACATGTCCTCAAGTATGGAACAATTATATCTTGAATTCCAAAATAATCAGCGTTGTTAGCATGTCTTTCAGACCAATGACAAAGCATGTAGCTAACAAATAGAGCGACATAGTTAATATGTTACGTATGTTAGATGTTTTAACTAAACACACGGCAGCCTGTAAAGAAGTAATCAGAATCCTCACAGTTTCCCTCATAAATTTACTGTGTAAGCTTATCTCAATTTGAATATTAAAGCCAAGTAAATGTGATATTTAAACTGAACATTTTGCAAGACCACCATTTAGATTCAACCCAAAAGGTCGTTTCATCATATTCCCTTTTTATTTCTTGTCAATGGCTGCTAGAAATATAACAAGTGCAAGAGGTTGAGTGAACTGAGAGGTTGCCAGAGACGGAAGAAGCAGATTTAACCCTCTCAAGCATGGTAGTGGCTTGAAACAGGGAAGGAAACTCAATGGAGAATGAACTTGTCAATCAGATCTTCCTCCATTACGCAGACAATAAATTTCTAATCTTTCTCATCTGACAACAAATTAAGAACTTAGAATCCCATTTTCTGAACTGAAATTCTAACTACAAATGCGTGATTAAATGGCGAACATGGGACTCCAAGGCCCTTTATTGCCTTGCCATCCATATTAAAAATCCATTTTTTCAACCCTTGAAATTCAGGGCCTAGGAGGGAATATGATGGAAAGGCGGTATGAATACAACCATATCCTCTTCGGCTAAAAATATGAAAGACTCCTAACTAATGAAAAGATACATGACTTGACAATCCACTCCTAGTCTTTACATTCCGCTCCATTATCTGCCATTCCATTTCATTCCCTCATAAAATCCGAAATATAGCCTAGCTAGGTTTAAATCCCATGCCTCAGTATTTTGAAGGGTGCACTCACTCACTTGGTTTGGCGCATTTATAATTTCAATCCCAGAGAGTTCACTAGAGGATCAGAATCCTGGTTGGCTGAGCTAACTCTGCGTTAGCAGCTGAATTATTGCTTCTTTGTCATTGGATCTGGTCACATCTGTAGCACACTTTTCAATAGAATACAGTACTTCAGATTTGTATCTTGGCAGCATAGTTGACAAACCAGTGTAGTTATAGCGAAATTCTGTCCTGATAAAGACCCGGAACAAAGCATGAAGGAGGTGAATCTACGTTCCCTCTAGGCCATCCCTCAATAAGCCCAACCTCTGCTGCGCTTGATTGCTGGGAGCTTCCATGTGAAATAAATAAAACAGGAATACAATGAAAAGGTTTTTTGGTTTGAAACCTTCAGTGATAGC